CCACCGGAGAAATTGCGCCATTCTCCAATCGTCTCCACCCGCCAGTCACCTTTTGCTTCACCTTCACTTGTTGATTGCTCAACTTTATTTGCAATGAATTTGTTGCCGTTGGTTAATTCTAAGCCAGAACCAGTTTTAATGACCAGACCAACACAATTCGTAACATTCGACTGAGTTGTGCAACACTCAAATGATCCGTGCAAATTGACACACCATGAATCAGTTTCCGTACATGGATTCTGTTCGCATTCATCAACATCTGAACATCAAATCACATTCATCTATCATTACTTCAACACTTAATCGCATTCCTCAACAAAAAATTCATTCCAAAAGTGTTTAAAATTGATCAAACTTCGAAAGGGGTGATGTTATTTCACTGCTTCAACAACTCTGTACATTAAGACATGCATCCAATGATTTGCTTACCGACACATCCTTCTTTTGTACTGCCCGTGAAACCATCATCACAATGACATGTGCCATTTTCACAGTGTGAATACAATGGACATCCGTGATCACATGCGATTTCCATAAATTCATGGCTAATTTTTGTACCACGGAATGACATGATGTTTTCTGAACCCTGTTGACCACTCGATGACGATTTGATATGAAGGCCTCCTAAAGCTTTAGGATGCAAAAAAATCTGTGCAACAAAAAACAGAAACATGCCGGTAGAATTTTTTCATAACAAAACGTAACTGGGACACACATTTTTCAGAACCTTTTCAGCAGGTCCTTCTCGAGAACAAGTGCACTGCATTCAAGTATTCCAATATTACTTCACAAACATATCAAATGAGAACGTTTCAGTATGAACAACATAAACGAGCATTCACTGAAAAATGGACTGTCACAACAGCGAACTTCGTTTTTTTTTTAAACTGACCATTTAATTCACTTTCTTGTTCGGGAATTGTGGCATTAACATCCAGAGGAGTGCTGTGTGATATAATCAAGCACTCTTCTTCGGATGAATATGGACCACAACAAATGTAACCACCTATTTTATTCACACACCATTCTCCAACCCCAGCGCATTGTTTATCGTTTTCGCATTCATTTATATCTGAAATCACATATCTCTTGCACTTCCTCCCGGAACACTTTCGTAGAAACAAATCAACATAAATGCGAACTATCGGCCGTTTTTGAGCTCTTGATGAATCAAAAGCAACCAACCATCACATCTGTCTTGTGGATCGCCAACAAAACCTTCCATGCACTGACACGTTTCATTATAGCAAATTGCATGTAAACCACATCCTCCCGAGCAGTACGCTCCTTTTTCTGTAATTGCAACCAATATCAACTCTGCTCAGCTCAAAAATTTTGTCATTAAATTCTTTTTTTCCAGATACGGTCGCGGTGTTCAAATTTCAAATCTTACAAACTCGTTCATTCGAAACTTATTTGGGAACTGGAGAAAAATGGATGGAGATCCATAAATCATTTCATCTCATATATTCGGTTGAGTGAATTTTTCCGTGATTGCAGGCAGCATTATCTTGATATTTCATCGTTCTTTGAGCTTTGTTTTGATTGAACGAAATTTTATCGTGGTCAGATCAAATGTGCTTAAAGAATGAATGAAAGAGTGCATGAGAACAACCTTTGATGCAGAACTCATCGTCAACGCCATCTTTACAGCATATATAACCACCATCAATATTAACACAACGACTGTCAACTTGTCCATGACAAGGATTCACTGTTGCATTACATTCATTCACATCTAGAAGCACTCATTACATCTTCTCATTTATTAATTTCTTTTCCTTCACCATAAATACTTACTTTTTGTGCCAATTTCATATTAATTTCCGCAAATATTTCAGCGCGTCGACGAAAACAAAGACCTAGCAGTATTGTATAATATAAACAGATTTATTCAAACAAATTTAGATCCATCATGATACTTTAAGTACTCATGTGCTTAAATAGTCAAATGCCCATGTACAAACAACGAAATGACTGTATTTGCTAATGTGATTGGACCATTTCGATGCGGATGAAGGATTAAAGGATTAATATCGTCACAAGCGAAAATTTTATCCGACTAATCTGATTAGTATAATTGAGCATGGCGCGAACAACTGTCTCTAATCCCTGTGATATTCCCTTCTAAGGACATTGATGATTTTGGAGAATAACCATTTCTCAAGCGCAGTCTATCAGACGAGTCTATTCATCGATCTGATTCAGAAATTATGGCAAAGGAACATATAAAACACAGACTGAATCTAACCATAGCAACTGAGTCCATCACCCACGTATCCAGCTTGACAAATACACATCCGAAGTGATCCCAAACAGAACGCATGACGATCACAAATACCTTCTTGCTGACTGCAGTCGTTCAGCGCTGCAATCGTTCATCAATAAGCGATTATTCCTAATCTACGATAAAAGACGTATCATATCGCATCATCCGAACGACTCAGTGCTCGGAAGCAATTCAGTTCAGTTTAAAGAAAAGCTGAATGCATAAGCTATCTTCAGTCGAGTTTCGCTGTCAATTGTGCGAAAAGATTACGTGAACATGTTCGGCCATTGCCAGTGAATCCTTCTTCACAAGTGCATTCATATCCACCGATTGTGTTCGTACAACTGGCTCGTTTGTCACATTCGGCAGATTTTTCCATGCACTCATCAATATCAACACACGAATCGTTCACTGCACGATAACCCTTGCTGCACTCTTCTACACATCGATAAGTTCCGATCTGAAACAGATTTTACTCTCGTATTGCATCATTCCTTCACATCATGAACCTCGAATGAGATAAATATTTCTTTGTCATTCATTACATTGCACCATTTTCGCGTGT